TATGGTAGATGTCTACTCTTCCTCCATGATCTTCTCAAATGCTTAATGACATATTCAATGACATATTTCTAATGACATATTTTTCTTTACTTTTCATGCCTATATAAAGGCCTCATAATAGATAGGAAGAAACACACAATTGAAGAAGAAATAAGAATCTCTCATCTCTTTCTTTCTATATTTCTTAGCTTGTTTTTTCTTGTTCTATATTGTTACTTTGAGCTATATTTCATAACAAAACCCTCATTTTTGTTGTGGTTGAGAATTAGTTTTTTTTTTATCTTAAATCAGGCTTGACTTCACTTTTTTCTCATCTTATCACTTGTCGTCAACCTCCTATCCTAAATTTTTCAGTCAATTTTAATTAAAGTAATAAAAATTATTCAACTTTTACAAAATATCACAAAATATCAATTTGGCTAAACTGGTGAAGATCGGTTTGCCGGAACACATCCAAGCAAATTTTAAAATTATTTTTTAAATGGAAAAATAATTATTCAACAGTATGTTGCCTCTACATTCCGCGAACTACCTAATTTTCTTCTTCTTTCTCTTAACTCAAGATAACAAATGAACCAAGAAAAAAGGTACTTGTGAACCTATTTTCTTTTTAGTCCGTTCTAAAGAGAATGATCTTTATCTAAATTTGAAAGCAATTTAGCTTAAACTTCAATTCTATACGCAATGGAAAGTTTTTATAACCACACAAATGCTCTGACATGTTTACCATCATAAGTTTCAAAAGAATTATAGCCATACAAATATAGTGACTTGTTTATGTAACGACCCGGCCGGTCGTTTCGAAAGTTATAGCCCAGTTTTTCCCATTTCTGCTTCTTTTGTGCTTTATAGCTGTATTATGTCTTACCGAGTTGGTTGGTTCGGGTGCAGAGTGATTTTGTAGTGAATTGATACACTTAGTCTCTTAATTGGAAGCTTAAGTTGGAATAGTCAATCAGATGTCGACTTGTGGGAAAACGACCTCGGATTTAAATTTTTATGGTTCCGTTAGGTGATTTTGAACTTAGTAGCGCGTCCGGAATATGATTTGGAGGTTTGTAGTAGAATTAGGCTTGAATTGGCGAAAGTTGAAATTTTGGCGATTTTGGCCGGTAATGGAAATTTTGATATCGGGGTCGGATTGGATTTTCAGAAGTTGAAATAGATTTGTGATATCATTTTTGACTTGTGTGTAAAATTTGAGGTCAATCGGACGTGGTTTGGTAGGTTTCGACGTCGCTATGGAATTCAGAAGTTTAGAAGTTCTTTAGGCTTAAATCCGGGTGTAATTTGGTGTTTTGATATTGTTTTGAGAGATTCAAAGGTTCGCCAAAGTTCGTACCGGGTAATAGGACTTGTTGGTATAATTGGTTGAGGTCCCGGAGGCCTCGGGATAATTTCGGGTGGTTAACGGCTTGATGGGAGTTGAGGAATTGCAGGTGAAGCTGTTGCTACTGGTGTAACTGCAGGTGCGGAGTGGGAACCGCAGGTGCGAGCCCGCAGAAGCGAAGGAGGAGCCGCAGATGCAGCTAAAAAGGATCTGGGCAGAGGACACAGGTTCAATGGCATTCCCGCACTTGCGATGGTCGCAGAAGCGGATTTAGGGGCGTAAGTGCGAGTTTGGACCGCAGGTGCAATGTAGTTCCCGCACCCGCGAAGAACGCAGATGCAGTCACTTGATTGCAAGAGCGGAGGCAGTGTTTAGTGATTTTTCCACAGAAGCGAGATTTTCCCGCAGATGCGGCTCCACAGATGCGGAAATGGAGTCGCGGGTGCGAGAAGTCTGGGCAGAACCTATAAATAGAAGACTTCGAGATTTTTCACCATTTTCATCATTTTTGAGCTCGGACTTTGGGGATTTTGAGAGAGATTTCGGAGTAATCACTAAGGTAAGTTCCTTGTGCCTATTTATCTTCAATAATGGTATTTGCCCAATGATATTTACACCTAGTTGGTGAGTGTTTGAGGTGAGATTTGGGAAGTTAAGGCTTGGGAATTGGAGAGTAAATTTTGGGGATTTGGAGGGGCAATTGAGGTCGAATTTTGATAAATTTGGTATGGTTAGACTAGTAAGTGAATGGGCTTTCAGGTTTTGTGACTTTCAT